TTCTTTTTTTTTTTTTTAATATATTTTATCGATTTTTTTTTACAGAGAGGAAGGGAGAGGGATAGAAAGCTAGAAACATCGATGAGAGAGAAACATCGACCAGCTGCCTCCTGCATACCCCCTACTGGGGATGTGCCCGCAACCACCTTTCAGTCCGCAGACCGACCGACGCTCTATCCACTGAGCCAAACCAGTTTCAGCATCCCTGACAATTCTTGTTTATACTCTTGACTGGTTTGGTAGACCATTTTTGAATAAGCAATGCAAAGGTAAATTTCAGTCCCAAAAGGACAGAACTTAAACATAATTTTGGAAAATGAATTGATCAGGAAATGCAGAAAACCCAACACTGATTTTTTTTTTTTTTTTTTTTTTTTTTAAGGAAGAAGAATAGTTAACATTTATTAAGTATGTGCATTTCATCAAGTACTGTGCTGGGGGCTTCCCACGCATGGTCTCATTCAATTGTCATACCAATCCTCTGAGATAGATGCTATTTTTATTGTTGTCTCCATGTTACAGATGTGGCAACTGTGGCTTACCCAAGTAACTTGTTCCCCGCCATCACGGTAGGAGGCAGGTGTCACCTGACCGTTTATCTACAGGGGCCACTCCCTTCACCACCACCATGCCAACTGTCTCCCCTGACTGGCCAGTCCCCTGTTCCCGCCTGAGATATCTTTTTCAGAATTTGGCCCAGAACAGGCTTCAGGATAAGTTCCTTCATTGTGATAAGCAGGGCCCAGATCTCTGACAGCTGTTCCCTGCTCTTCATCATCATCTGAAACAATCAGGAAGCATTAGAGAGTACTTTTCCCTTTACAAAGGTGATAATTAGATAACAAGCTGAGATTAAAGTAATTACAGTTAGACAGCTGGCGAGCCAGCACAGTCACGTTGAAATATTGTTGGTACTTCAGCATCTGGTTCTAATAACAGCATAGGCTACAGGATTTTACATTAATTACAGAACATAATTTAATATAAACATATTTAATTGCAATCGATGAGCGATAAACTGCTCAAGAATGACTTAACCCTTTTCGCGTGTCAAAGTGATGGGAACTTTTGGGCAGGCTTTGGCCTCTTCTGCTGTCTGTCTTACCCTCTCTCGCCATGCCCTCCACACTCCCTGGTCTCTTCTCCTGGAGAAACCTCCTCTCAAAGGAGAATTTTCCTCATTGATTATCCCGTGGGTTCTTGGCGCATGCACAGCGCTGCTCACTCATCCTGGGAAAGCCTGGTGGAGGGCGGTGAGGGTGCCAGCCTGGCTGGGATGCATTGCTTGGGCGTGACCAGCTGCCCTTCCTCACAGTGGCTGGTGAAATTCTCACACCTTTATGTGGTATTGGTTGGGCTTCTGACAGTCAGTGAGCAAGCTGTTAAAAAGAATCCTCAGATCTCTTAGCAAAAGTATAAAGGTAAACCACTTTTTTGTCCCGATTATGAAGTTGTGGCCAGGGTATTTTCACAATTTTGGAATCAATGTGTAATACCTGCAAACTTCTTCATGAGATGGGACACTTTCTATTCTGGTAGGAATTCATGCTGCCAACTCCCATCACTACGCCCACACTCTCCACTAGATAAAAGACTCAACCATAGTTTTTTGCACATCATCTTTCCAAAAGCTCCAATCACTAATGGGACACATTCAAAAGCCACAAAATTCTTTTATGAGCTACATGTCTGTGTTTCCCAAAATTCGTATGTTGAGACTTAACTCCCAATGGGATGGTATTTAAGAGGTAGAGCCTTTGGGAATTAATTAGGTTTAGATGCGGTCATGAGGTTAGTCTCCATGATGGGATTAATGTCCTTATAAGAAGATAAAAAGACTAGAGCTTGTTCTCTTGGCCATGTGAGGCTAGAGCAAGAAGGTGGCTGTCTGCAAACCAGGAAGAGGGCCCTCATCAGAACACAACCATTCTGGTACCCTGATCTGGACTTCCCAGACTGCAGAACTATGAGAAATAAATATCTGTTGTTAAGCCACCCAGTCAATTGTATTCTGTTATGGCAACCTGAACTGACTAATACATAACCACTGGGTCCCAACTGAGTTGAGATGATTCCTAAGAGGCAATCCAAAGAAGTTACAAGGCTCCTTCCTTTAAGAACAAAAAGAGTGAGTAGCCCTAGAGCAAGTTGGAAAATTCACTATTAAGTTTCCCTGTGTCACAAATGATGTGGAATTATAAGGAGCCTTACTGTTTTTACTTCTTCCTGTGGATTTCAAGGTATAAAGCACACATTCTCCTAAAAGCTAAAGTGAGTGTTGAAAATTTTATTCATAATAAACTTCTAGAGGAATTACTGACAGGCAAACACAAATTAAAATTACTGTGAAGATTTGGGACCACATGTCACCAAGGGACAAACAGGCACTCTCCAAGTGAAAGTTGATCTGTGCATAACCTTTTGGAAGAAGTTTAAATTTCCTGACACAGCAAATCCATGATGTAAGAACTATCAGGTATTTTTTGTATACTTAGATTTATATTCCTGTAGGAGTGAGGAAGGGACAGGAAAGGAACATTGGCAATAAAGAAGTATTTGCTAATTTAAAAGTTATCACTCTGTCATAAAAATTAAAAAGTTTTCTGGGTCAAAGGACACTGGCTAAAAAGTGAAGAAAAACCACAGAATGGCAGAAAGTATTTATTAATCTTATCTGATAAGGGTCTAGTACCTAGAATATAAAAAGAACTATTATAACCGAATAATAGAAATACAAATCATCTAATTGAAAAATGGGAAAATAATCTGATTCAGTATTTTTCTGATGACAATACACCAAAGGCCAATAAACACATGGAAAGACTCAACATCATTAATCATCGTCCAAACCAAAATGAGCTACCACTTCACACATCCCAGGATGGCTGTAATAAAAAAGATAATAACAAATGTTGGTAAGGATGTGGTAATTAGCTGGTGGTAATGTAAATAATACAACCATTGTGGGAAAGTTTGACAGTTACTCAACAAGTTAAACATAGTTACCATAAGACCCGGCAACTCAATGCTAGGTATATGCCTGCTAGAAAACAAATCAGTTTCACTAAAAAAGAGATGTTGAAAGGAAGCCAGGAAGGCTGGTCAATAACCTTAATTGCTCTAACCTTTAGTTGAGATATTGTTAGCTGAAGCAGCCTCCACCTTGTTTGTCCTGTGTAAGTTTCTGTTATTTCCTGCCTAAGGGCTACATGTAAATTCCTGTTAATGTTGCCTAAGATGTTTTCCCCAAAGCCTCAATAAAAGGGGATGGCAGGCCCAGAGCAGTGGTAGTTCTCGCACTAGAGTTGGACTATCGCCTGGCCCCCCATATCACCAAGTTGAATTTCTTTAAGTCTCAAGTTTCTTCATTTGTGTGCGGCCCTTCTCCAGAACTTGAACCCTGAATTGGAACTCTTTCCACGCGGGCCATGAAAGAGATTCTTATGTATGCCCAAAAGAATTTAAAAGATGTCCATACAAAAACTTGAACACAAATACCATTATTCATAATAGCCAAAAAATGAAAGTAATCCAAATATCCATCAACTGATGAATAAACAAATTGGTATACTCATATAATGCACTGTCATCCAGCCATAAAAAGAAACAAAATATTGACATATGTTATAATATGGATCAATCTTGAAAACATCATACTAAGTGAAAGAAGCCAGATATAGAAAACCACATATTGTATGATTATATTCATATGAAGCGTCCAGAATTGGTAAATCTATAGAGACAGAAGATATCGAGTCATGGTTGTCAGGAGATGGGAGGAAAGGGAACTTAAGAGTGATTGCTAATAAGAATGGATTTAGTTGCTTGTTTTTTTGCAGGGAGGAAGAGGTGTGTGATAGAAATGTTCTGGAATTAGTGGTGATGGTCGCACAATATTTTGAATATACTAAAAGCTACTGAACTGCACACTATATAATAGTTAAAACAGTAGACTTTATGTTATGTAAATTTTATCTACCTTTTTTTTAAGGGACCAATCTGAGAATGTGAGCTTAGTCCCACTAAGGATGCCTGGGAATCTGTGTAAAGTGATCACAGATATTCAAGAGGTGAGGATGCTGGGGTATTTATACACCAACTCCCATCAGTCAGTGACTGCAGGTTGCTTCCAGGAGGCATTAATTCCTTGCACTTTTGCCCTAACTGCCCAAGGAGCTCTGGTGAACAGAGATAGTCCTTAGGCAGACAAATGTTGGTGCTGACAGACGGCAGGCTAGTGTGCCCCAAAAGGGTATAGGCAGGAGATCCAGGCAGCGTACTGAAATTCTGCTACTCTCCCACTGAGCTGTCTTGGGATTAAATAAGAAAATCTGTGTAAAATGTTTCACAATGCTAGACCCAGAGAAAGCTCTTAGTAAATGTGAGCTATTTTTACAGAAGATTCAATAAGGCTAAATAATTTGATCAAAACTGCATAGCTAAAGCAAGATAAAGCGAGGATTTATGCAGATCTGTCTATACCGTGCAATCTCTCACATAGAGAATTAGACTAACCAAACTTGCAAACATACCTATAGGATGGCAATCATGTCTTGAGGACATTCGGCAACTATAACAAATGTCTTTATATCTGTACTCTCCCGGCCACCCCTTATGTGCCTTCAATGGGGACAGCAGCTGCTTGTCTCACAAAAAGGCCTTGAAGGCAGGTGTTTTGTCTGCTCAAGTTGCCCAGGGTCTGAATATTACCTGGCTTGTTGTATAGGTGATTATTTGAGATTCAACGCCTGCACATTTGCTGACAGTTTAGTCCAAAGGACCAAGACACATTACACCTGAGGCTGCAGGAGCAGCAGGATAACACTTGCCTCACTCACATGTCAGCCCTCCTGTTCTCCTCTGGAATAATATGACTTACAGCGACTCACTGAAAGAGGTGTGCTAGCAGAGGAAAATGGAAGGAATCTCTTCCCAAAATGCCCTGCTTGAACTCCCAGAGGGTTGACGTGAGGATGTGGGGCTGCAGAACCCAAGCCTACCTGATCAGGTAGTGGTTGATAATGGTGTCGAAGTAGCTGTAGTACACGACATTGTTCACGTGGCCATACTGGTCATTGTCCTGCCACCTCGTCTGGATAGGCAAGAAGTACCCATAGGCCTCCTGGTGACGATGACAGTCTTCAACCCGCTGGTTCTCTGATGATGTAGTCAAGGAACGGATATTCCTGGGAAGCATCCTCAAAACCCAAGAGGCCATAGCTGGTGATGGCTGCCTTGAAGGGTACCTTCAAGTAAAAGAGTAGCACAGGATAAAATGGTCTGCATAGATCTTTAGCTTCACAAAGGTGACTGCATTAAATTTTGACCACTGGTTTCTAAAGGAAATTAAAGTTTTTTCCCCTAAGAAATAAATCTTTCCTGAAAGTCCAGGTCCTTGTCACAAACCTATTTACTGTTTTTGTTATTGTAATTTATTTGAGAGAAAGGAAGGGGGAGAGAGAGAGAGAAATACATCGTCTTGTTGTTCCACTTGTTTATGGATTTATTGGTTGATTCTTGTATGTGCCCTGACTGGGGACCAAACCCACAACATTGGTGTACTGGGGCAGCACTCTAACTAATAAGCTACCTAGCCAGGACCAAACCTATTTACTTTTTAAAGGACTCCTTACTAAAAAGGCTTTGCACACACTAATGAAAACAAATGAAGCCTTTGTTTGAATTTGACTAGTGGAAATTTTTATGGAGGTCTTCTGTTTCGCAAAGTATTTTCAAAGAGTGTTCTGATTCTGACAAAATCTATAATACTACTAAGCACATAAAGATAGAGCTAAGGAGAACGAACGAAACAGAAATAAAAAGTTTGCTAGAAAACTTTATCAAATGGGCCTATTGACTGTAAGTTTCTTTGGGGCATTAATTTTCTTTCAGAACAAAAGTATTGCCCTATAGAATTTTAAAATATGCATGAACAAATGGGGAAAAGAAACAGCAACCCAACAATTCCAGCTGTTAACACTTCCATATGCATTATTTTAGCCTTATATTTATATATCTTTGTAAATATTCTTAAATTGGACCATACAACACAGTGGTTTTGTAACCTTTTGTGCTTAATAATAGATTATTGATATATTTAAATACTCTCCTACATCATTTGTAATGTTGAATTCCATTTTATTCCAATTTATCAAAGCACCACAATTTACAAAATCCTTTATTGCACACTAAGGATTATGATTCCAATTTTGTTGACTTGGATTGGAATTTTTGTAAATAAACCTTTACACAAACATGTGATTATTTTCTTAAAATAATTATTTAAAAGCAGAATTGCTGGGTCAATGGGCAAATAAACTGTTAAGGATTTTGATATAAACTAATGCCCTCCAGAAAGGTGGTACTTATTTTACCACCCCAGCAGTGGCCAATTTCCTTGTCCATTTTTAAATGCTCTGTCAATTTGACTGTGTTCTCTCATTTCCATATAAATTTAATGAAATGTGCTAAGTGGAAATATGTCTACTGCTACCACCTGTGATGGAATTACTAGTATTAGAACAACCCTTCTGTTTGCGAACTATAAAAGTGAGATAAAATGTAAAAGAAGAGCTCTGTGAAGGTGTGAGGAAATAACCACGATAGCGGGGACTTTATAGGCTGCACCCCTGGGGACAGGGTAACACACTGCAGTGAGCTTGCACTTGCTACTGTTGTTTCTCACCAGGGTATTTGCCAACTTACTATGTGGGGAATAAAGGCTGAAGAGATAACAGCAACCTAGCGCTTGCAGTGGTCTTGCTGTGTTGGAAGAGCTGACAAAAATTGAAAGGCCAACATCCTGGAGGAGAGTGAGCTGCAGAGAAGTGAGCCTTGTAGTGCAAATTTCCCCAAAGGCATTTGCTGACTCCTAAGCTGCAGGTGCTCCAATGAGACAGAGAGACCAGCAGAAAGCAACTGCTACAAGGCTACAAATCTAGGAAGAAAACAAGAGTCTCACTGTGCTGGGGACTGCCAAGGAGGAAAGTAAAGACCCCAGACTTTCAATTTCAACCCCAAAAGGGCCACTTCCTTAGAGTGAGAGCAAACCCTAAATGGACTAGCCCGTGGAAACCTAAAGCATCTCTGCAGGAAAGCAGCACCATCCAGAGACTCCACAACTTTTTAGACAGAAAGTCTAACATTCAGTCAAAAACCTCCAGGCCTATTAGGAAAGAAGAACAAATGACTAAAACCCAAAAGAAAAAACAATAGAATAGTCCCACAGACTCACACTGATTTTAAAATAACTATGATTAACAGGCATCAAAGATAAAGGGAGATTATGCATCCCAAATACATAAAGAACTCAAAAATGGAGGAAAGATTAAAAAAAACAATAAAAATTAAGCAAAGGTCACATACAATTCACAAATACAGATTTTTAAATGAATTTTAAACATATAAAAAGATGGACAATTTCAGGCATAATAAAAAAATGAAAATTATAACTATGCTGAGATACCTTTCCCCAATGATTAGATTTGGTAAAAATGACACAGCTTGACAACACAATCTCTTGACAAAAACACAAGGAAAAAGACGCTCATACATTGCTGGTGGGAGTGTCCGCCTTATGGGAGAAGAATTTAACAAAATCTAACAAAACCATAAGTGAGTCTACCTTTTGCCCACATCTAAAGTTACCTTGAAGATACACCTTCACTAGTACAAAAACACAAATGAACAAGGTACATCAGTGCTTGTAATTAAAAAACATTGGGGGAAAAAACATAAGACATTGGTTGAATAAACTATGATATATTCACACAATGGTATACTATGCAACTGTACATGAAAATGAAAGAATATGTGATATGGAAATCTTGGTTGTCAATCAAAAAAGCAAAGTGCAAAAGACTATATATAGTATGCTAATTTTTGTATAAGAAAAAAGGAGAAATAAGATAATATAAAGGTATTGATTTACATTTACAAAAAGCAATTCAGGAAAGTTGGACCAGAAATTAATGAGTAGATTGGGGGTGGGGGGTGGGGGGAGAGGAGTAACACTCCTCCGAATACAGCTTTTTGTGTAATTTTCGTTTTGGGAGCTTTGATGTTTTATATACTCACCCAAGATGATGATGATGATGATGATGATGATGACGACGACAAAGAAGAATAAGAATTTAAATTAAATTAGTTTTATTTACCCTCCATTTAAGATGGAGGGGAAAGACACCTAAAATGGAATACAAACAGAAACAAATGAGCCTAACTATATGTCAAATGAAAAACATAATTACACAGAAGAGAAAAAATAACTACTTTTGAGTACAGAGTTTTGACTATACACCCTCAAAGACAAAAATCTGAACACTGGTTAGTAGGTATGTTTTTTACAGTGACAAGATCTAAGCCTGGGCAAATGAGTAAGTACACTGAGTATATTTTAGCAAGATTTCTCACTTACAAAAAGGACTTGCCAACATAGGAAAGAGAAAGATCAGAATGAACCTTCAAATGTTAGGTAAGATTTGGGAGTCTGGTATGAATGCCTGGGTCAGGGATAGAGATAGAGACAGCCCTCTTTTTCTTTGCCCTTTAGAGCCCTATGGCATTCTAGCAGCAGGATAATTACATTTAGTGTCCAGATCTTATTTTCTAAATACCATTCTACACAAAATGGAGCCAGGGCTTTTTGAAGAAATGACTGATCCCAAGGCAGGAGCAGATAAATTAAAAGGTGACCCTGGAATATCTCATTGTGCCAGAAAGTAAGTAATGTTCAAGGAATGAGGGGCTAATCTGTGATAGCAATCAGAAGATGGTTACCGTGGCTAGGGACCATGATTGGGAATGGCACAAAGGAGGCTTCTGTGCTGGTGTTTACATAGGTATGTTACTTTGTAGAAATTAATCAAGCTTATTCTCTTATGAATGTATTATACTTCAATTAAATTTTTTCTCAAAAATGTGCTACATGGAGAGAAGTTATAGGATTATAAGTTAAATTTCTAATGTCTGGAGTTCTCTCTCTCTCTCTCTCTCTCTCTCTCTCTCTCTCTCTCTCTCTCTCTCTCTCTTTATTCAGGGAATTTATCTCTTGTACACTCACCCTAATACAAATTCATAAAACTTGAAGAAGTCAAGACTCTTCTTTATCCACATAAGGCCCTGTTATATTGGTTGCTTTCTGGATATGTGCATATGTATATAGCCCCAAACAGACACTGATGAAGACAGACTTAACTCCCACATAGTGGAAGCACAAGTACTGACTTAGAATCCTTGCTGACCTGAAAATAACCTGCCATCTAAATAACATTTAAAGGAGAAAGTTCTTAAACTTGTACATTTTTGCATTGTTTTCCCTAAGGAATCAACCTTCATCATCTGTACCTTTTGGTGACACAAGGCTAATATTCATCCATTTGAACACACACAAAAATCTCAAAACAGAAGAAACCTCTGCGTGAGTGATATTGAGTATCAGGTGGCATTTTGACTGATCACTATGAGAAAGTCGAGGGAAGTAATTTTTAAAAAATAATTTTAAAGAACCGCATTAAATAGCAAAGCTCACTGGCATAATCCAAAGAAAACACATGTTGACACCTGCTTCATGCTCAGATTTTACAAATAATATTAAGAGCTTTCCTAATCCTTTGGAATGAGCTCTGACTCCACAAAGAAAATAACCACTTTCCTGAAGCCTAAGTGCGTGGGGAGGAAGATCCTGCCATGCAAATAAATTCTCAGGAAGCTGTGAAGAAAGATATTAGCTATTTTGCTCAATTTATTCCAAGCCGAAATATAATAATACATTATAAATCTGTTTTGATTTTACTTAATCTAATGAAAAAATGTTCATCTTTTTGATAAGTGCTCATTAGCCATTTTTTCCTGACATAAACAGACAAGAAAGATGTTCTCCTGCTACATTTAAAATGCAACTCAGCTAATTACAGTGCAATGACTCAAAGAACAAAATCAATGCACTAAAGTTTCTCACTTGAATTGTCTTTAGAGTTGAATTTAAAAAAATCTAACAAAAAAAATTTAAAGGGCCCTGGCAGTGTGTTTTACCCTTAGGTTGCATAATGTTTAAGTAAACAAAGGCCACATTTTAAGTATGTGATAAAAATTTTAAATTTTCTCAGGTCAATTGCTCTCTAAAAATGGTTGCTGAATTTACCAACAAAAATCTCAAAATAGCCAAAACCGGTTTGGCTCAGTGGATAGAGCATCAGCCTGCGGACTGAAGGATCCCGGGTTCAATGTACTTTGGTTGCGGGTACAT